ATCATGTAGAAATAGTTTCTACCCTAAAGAAAAACTTTAAAAATCGTTTTAAGGATTTCAACGAAATGGCTTTAGTAGCGCAGTTTGTTGTTTCACCCTTTATGGAAATTGATATCTAACAGTTTGCAACTTGTGTTATGCAGAACTTTGGCGAAGACATCGCTGCAACAGAAATGGAAGTAATTGAGTTTCAAAATGATTTAGCCTTAAAATCGTTAGTCTCAATTACCAAATGTATCTGGATTATTGTAAGTAAAGACAAATATTCAGTTCTATGCCGTGTTTTCTTGAAAGTGAAAGCATTATTCAGTTCAACCTATTTGTGTGAATCTTCTTTTTTCAATATGAAGTTTATTAAGAACAAATATCGCAATCGACTTACAGATGATCATTAATTGTATTCGAATGGCTGTATCAAATTATACTGCAAACATTAAAAAAAATTATCGATGAGTGAGTGTCAGCCTTCTCACTGAACGTGCTTTTTTATTTTTCAATGTTTATGTTCATGATAGTGCGTTACTTTTTTGTTGTTATTATTAACTATTTTTAAATCTTACGTGACATGCCGTTGTGGCTGGATAAAAGTTAGTGTTTATTTTTCAAACACTTTCGTTTGGTAGGTAGGAATGTAGCTATGAACAAGTACGTACTAGTAATATTAGTTATTTTGTTATTAGTTTATTATTAGTAGCTATGTATTATGTATTACCAGTTAAATAGTAAAATAAATACATAATATAATAATAAATTAACTGTGAATTATTTCATTTACGTTGCGTTACGTGGCTTCCGTGTGGGTAGCTCGCTGTTTATTCCAAAATTAACAAGGTAGCTCAACACATTGAGAGGTTGGCGACCACTGCTCTAAATGATCTTATAAGATTTGTTATTTATTCTTTTTGTTTATATTAGTTTGTTTGTTAATGTATATTATATACATGGAATTAAAATTAAAGTAGGTGGGTAGGTGTATTCTTATTTCTTCTTTAATTAAAGTTATTTTTTATTAGGATACATCTACTTGCCACATTTCGTTTTTGCTTTTTCCTCTTTATAATTTGAGAGACGCTAAAATGGTAGTTCCAACCTTATCGAGACTGAGGCCCACAAGGTTAAACTCGTAGTGTAACAAAAACGAGAAATGATTTAACTTGGAACGAAACACCGAAAGCCTTTAGTAGTATTAGGACGTTGAAGTTTTTGGTTTGTGAAGCATTGACATTAATTAGGTTAAACCATGTGATGATTTCCATAAGCCTTGATTTTTAAAATTATTCTTTATCGCCTTTTGATTAGGGTTTACAAACTTGTTTCAGCAATTTATCCAATAATAATTGGCCTCTTTACCTCTTAAGCCTGCTTATGTAAAATATTTGGGCTCCTTACTTCGACTGTTTATATAATATTAATAAAGGTCAGAAGGATGAGTATTGCAAATATGTTAAAAGAAATAAATTGGCTTCAGTTCAGAATTATGTTTAGTACATGACTGATATTTATTTATAAAATAAAAATGACAGTACGATCGCAGCAGATTTATTAGAAAAATTCAATATAATTCGAAATATCACAAATAAAATACAAGACGCCAATCTGACTTTCATGTATGACAAGCCATCACTAAAAGTTTCCAAAATACAATTTTTATTAAAGGTTAAAAAATTTAATAGACTGCCTAAAGAAATTAAAAAAAAATCAATTAATATATTCAAAAATAATCTCAAACAATACTTGATAAATAAACAGAACGGATATACTTTCTTGTAATAATACTTTTTAAATTTGCCCTTTTTAAGTATTTTCCTTAATTTATTGTTATTTTACCCCTCGTTTTACACGCATTTATTATAAATTATTTCTATTTTGAGATCATGTACTTTATTTTAAAAAATTACTTGATGTTATAATAATACTACTTACTATGTTTATATTATTAATAGTTTTGCGACGAAAGGTAATAGCAACTTATAGCCACAAAACTATTTTTGGGTTAAAGTAGATCCATAGAGAGGAATGTAATTTACAAAGGCCTTCTTTCAACATACAAATATATGACAACTTTATAATTAAAATAAAAAACAACAAAATACCTCGGTACCAAGGTAAGAAGATTTATTTTTAAATTTTATTTATTGAGGAAATTTATGACTAAAAGTTTACAAATTCACAAGTTTACAAATTCCGGTCAACTTTTGGATTAGAGCAGATGAGCAATTGACGTTATTTGAGGTGCTGAATTCAAATCCTGGTTTCGTTTTTCAAAATTGATTCTAGTTTGTGAGTTCGCGCATGTTGGCAGCACTGTGCTATCATAATGACAGTCAGCTGTTGGCGTCGCTAGAAACATTATTTAATTTGTATTTTAAAAAGTTTTTTTTTAATCCAAAATGTGTGAAAATGCAAAGACGGAATTGTAAAGTTGATTCAAAGTGTTTTTGTTATGTTTGCGGATGTTATATGATCCAAAAAAAAATGTGGCAAAGTTATTACTAATGTGATCAGAAATGCATATTTTTAATATTTTGGTTTTTCTGTATCAAACACTCACAAGCCGTGGGTACCGAAATTGCTTTGTAACGCGTGTAGCACAATAATATACAAGTGGTCACGCGTGAAGGACCGGCTTTTGAGTACTTGACCAAATTATTTCCCAAATTGTCGTACGCCAAAATCAAAGAGGGAATATTTGTCGGACTTGATATTCGAAAATTAATGGCCGACAGAAACTTTACAAAATGTTTAACGCCCAGTGAAGCAGCAGCATGGGTATATTTTCAAGATGATGTTCACAACTTTCTCGGTAACCGCAAACTCCCGGATGTCAAGCAGATAATAAACAGTTTGTTGCAAAATTATTGCAAGATTGGAGCTCGAATGTCTTTCAAAATACATTTTCTGCATTCCCATCTCGAATTTTTTCCTGAAAACTTGGGTAATACACGCGACGAATAAGGAGAGCGATTACACCAAGATTTGGCGAAAATCGAAAAACGATAGCAATGATTTTGGGACGAAGGCATGATGAGCGACTACTGTTCGACTTTAATGCGTGAAACAGATCCCAAACAGTACAAGCGACTCAGTTCGACTGCTTTTCTTCTAATTTAACACTTTTTAATTAATAAAATGAAGATTGTCAAAAATTGTAAAAAATGTGTTTAATATCTCGAAAACTAGAACCAATATCAAAAAACGGAGTGCAGATTCGGATTCAGCGTCTCAAATAACCTTAGAAACAGCTTTTGGTTACTTATATCCAAAACCATGTATACTTGTGATTTCCAATTCGCTGGTTGAATATGTAACCCAAAATCGTATAATAAAAATTTTCTACAAAAAACCAGCATTTGTATAAATATCAAAAGAAGCATACATTTTTAAATAATTTGATATTTTAGAGCCATTCACACATCACAGTTGACATCTTGATAATTGACAGGCACAGCCAAGCATTATTCTGATTTTTGCCAAATAAAATGGCCGGTTAATTATTCTATGGGGTTGCAACAGAGAGCCAATAAATTTGATGAACGTGTTTTTGTGGCTAGGGATGAAATAGTAGTAGGTACGCTTAAGTTAGCACCACCATAAAAAGTCATATTTAAGAAATTGCTTGTATATTTTTCATAAATTGGCAGGCTTGACTACTAATTTCGAATAAAAATAGCCTCCAAAATGGCTCTGATTGCAAGTATGAAGGTCGCAACCCGCCTTAGAAATTTCACACGGAAAAAAATGTGACTGGAAAATTTTACTACAATGTTGTAGTAGTAGACTTGTAGAAAAATACTTAACTTTTTGTAGAAAATTTTACTACAATTTATAGTTAAAAACTATTACTTAATGTAGCAATTGAATTGTCGAATAAAATGCTACAACAATAGAGCAGAAAAAGACCACAATGCTTAGTATATTTTACTATTGTTTGTAGAAGTAGAAATTTATTACAATTATCGTAATTACTACTATTAACTTCTGTAAAAATTTGTCCAAATATTAATAATTATCTCTACAAAAAATAGTAATTTTCTCTATAAAAAATAGTAATACGTTGCATCCCTTCTTATGAAAAAAATTCAATTTTGTTCAAAAATATTCTATAATATTGTAGAAATTCTAAGTCATGTGAGTAAAACAGAATTCTGCTATTGGCCAACGTTTTCTGACGTCCACTATAAATGGCCAGACCATAGAAAAATAAAAAGGGCCAGACAGTAGTAGTCATTCGCCATGTTCACATAACACATTATTATATTATAAGCACCGATGCGTTTGAGAAAATTTTAATAATAACTTCTATTAGTGGTAAGTACATTTACTATTGTTTCTGAATAATTTACCTTTAGATAACTAATTTAAATAACAGTAGATTATTTAAAAAAAAAATAGTTGTGCCCAACGATCGAATGTTGTGCCAAGTTCAGTGTTGTTGTTTTGTTTTAATTGTGACATACCTACTTTCTCATTTTTGTTAGTTATCTGACGTAGTCATTTAATATTCCAAACAGTTTAAAGGTGATAAATATCCCCGTTTTAAGGTTATGAACAATTCAATAGCTGATATTAATTTTTACTTTCCTATCTATATACAGATATAAGGAAAGTATAGGAATCATGATTTTTTTCGACCTAAGTAGTTAGGATGAACCGAAAATTCTGAAAAACAATAGGGTTCTAAGTTAGAAGTAATTATTCAAGAAAATCAAAACCGCAAGTCAATCAGAACTTTTGTTCTAGAGTTATCGTGCCGGCATACATATAGACGACCAGACGAACATTTTTTTTCCATTTTCGGTCTAAGAATGATCGGAAACATGAAAAAAAGTTTTAAAAAATGGGGGTAAGAAAATTTTTTCGTTTGCACGAATGCTATACTGAGGCACCATAGGAAGAGCCTCAGTAATATTTCACTAAAAGTCTATACTGTTTACCTTATCCTGTAAATGGGGAATTCTTGTAGGATCTTGTAAAATACATAAATAAAGAAGAAATAAAAATGTCTTTAAAAATAGTGTTTATTTATAGCTTATTACAATAAACTATCTTGTTGCATTGCAAGACGATAATGATGATTAAGACAGTTTATCAAGGCTAGAGCAGCTTCCTCAGCAGTGATGCCAACTTTTCTTGTTCCACAATCAGATAATATTTCGCTGACCTTACTAGCATCAGAAAAGTCTCCTTCGATATTTTTTTTAAGTTTGTCCTTGTCTATATCCCCATTTTTATTTTGGATTCCAGTTCCGATGTTCATACAGAGGCTGTATTTGGGAAAATTGGGGTCGTCCACTGTTTCATCTCGTCTATACTTTTTAAGGGTATCGTCTTTAATTTTAGTGTTGGGGTCGTTTTGGCAAGCTTTGTGGCTTTTCCTGATCTTCTCGCTTGTGTGTTCGGCGAATGTCTAAAGAATAAAATGTATTCAATAATTTTGTTTGTATAATTTATTTGCTAGAATTAGATCTAATTTAATTTGGTTTTAAAGTTCAATTATATATTTTTTTAAATAATGTTTCTTGATCATTTGGATTGTTATGGTATGGTTGAATAGCGAAGATGAACATAGGAATTAATATTGCCTAAATGAAGTGAAATTAAGTACATTATCTTAACATTGTAGATTCATTTAGATGATATAGAACATAATTATTAAAATTAAAATAATGGCATATTGTTTATTGAGGAATGAGCTATAAGTATGCTATTTGTAGCATGAACCTTAAGCTCCTTTTCATAAATAATTTATCTGGTAAGATTATTATATTTTTTCGAACCAAAGATTTTAAAAAACTTAAAAATAATTTTTTCTACACCCACATGGATATAAGCTTATCTACGCATAGATTACAAAACGAAAAAGTATACTATTGTCATTAACTGAACGACTATATTTTATTTCCATTTTATGTAGTGAGAACACTGCAAAAAATGAAATTCACCAATCACAGTTCATATTTTGGTCACCAGATGTCTATTATTTTTAAAATTAATTGACAGTGTATTGTTTAGTTGCTGAACTTAAATATACGTTAAAATTACTCATTTTTATAAAAGAAAATTCCCAAATATGCCGGCGGATGGATGGTGAGAGTTTCTACCTCCCACGTGAGAAACCCAACTTCGAGCATCGGCTGTAGACTTTTAAATTAAAACTCGTTTATTTTATTTTAAAAATTATTAAAAGTCATAAATTATTTCGAAATTAGTTATTTTGTCTTCATAACCTAAAATATTTTTTTTTATTTGCAAAGTTATGTTAGTGGGTCGTAGAAAAACTATACTGTACAACTGTTCACATCGCACTTAGATGATTGAGCACTCCTCCTATGGCGTCGTGCTCAAATTTCGTCTTCCGTGCGATATGGCCATCATATCCAGTCTTGTTGCACAATCTACTATTATATGAGTTTCAAATAATAATATTGGTATTAATTTTTATTATATTTTGATAATTTTTTAATGAAGATACCTTTGAGGCCGTTGCTAGGCAATTTGACAAGATGATTAAGTCTGATAAATAAATATTTTGCCAAGTAAATATTGAAAACATTTTAAATTTAATTATTGAAATATATTATTACATAACAATTTATTTGATATTTGCAAACAATATTATTTCCTACGACCACTTAGGAAAGTGACACATATCACACTATATAGTCCTATGGAAAGTGCCCTATATCACACGCGTATGAATAAGAATTAACTTTCCACCCGAGTGAGAATATGTTACTTTCCGCAGTAGTTGTCGCAAAATGTCAAACACCTAATTTCTATTTTGATCTATGTAATGTCCATATTAATACTAAAATCGATATGATTGTTAAATTATTGAAATCGTTGTAAATTAGATCCTAGATATTTATCTTTAACAATTATTATTAAAATAATTTTGAAATAATGTTTGCTTTTTATTCTGGTTAAATACATAACCGATTAGATCATTCAATTGACACAAGGGCTATTAGCTTAGGTGGTTCGGACATCGAACTTATCATTTTTGCCATTTTTCGACCGCGTTCGAATCCTGGCGGGGCAGAATTTTTTTTTTTTTTTATTTTTTTTAATTTTTTTTTTTGTTTAGAAAATATGAAAATTTAATAAATACGATTATTGTTGATTATTTTTTTAATTACATTTTAATTATTATAGTAATAATACCCTTGGTTTTACATTTTTTTGATGACATTATTTTGTGGTCGTAAGAAAAATATTGTACATCACTTGTGTGAAAAGTGATTTTCCACACTCGTAATGTAATATACTATTTCACCCACTGTGACCAATTGAACTACATGAATTTTGATTTCCACGGTTAAGCTTTTATTTTATATATTTAAATATTTATATTTATCATATAAGTTGACCTATATATTTTGCCTTGCACATAATTGGTGTATTTTTCAAAACAAGAACAATTAAAATATATTTATTTTACTTACCACTGCCAAAAAGCAGAAGAAAATAACATAGACGTATTTCATGATTATTTCTTAACAAAACTACCATCCTAATGCATTTTAGTGGAAGGTTTATATATGGATAACATATTACAGATATTAATTGGTCTGGGTCAAATACTTTGCCACTGGAATAAAAGAATAAAGTTTATCATAATATAAGTAAACATCCATTATAAAAAATATTACGAATATGTTCCTTAAATAAGAATGCTCATAAATCTAGAATCTTTTTATTGACAAATGTTTAAAAACAATCCTTTTAAAAGCGGAACCGTCTAACCATTGTAAAAATGTTTGATTTTATTTTGTTCGTCACCTGGCGGTTCCAAGCGGACAGTAGCGCAAATTAAAAAAAGAAGACAGTTTTCTAGATGCCGGTAAAAGAAGTTACGATTGTTTGATCAACCGTACAACGTTGTCATTTTGCGAATTTTTTGGATCGTAGATCGTCTATATTTAACAAAACTGGCAACTATCGAATAATAGTTTACCAGCTTTATAATTACGATTAGAAGTTGGTTAAATGATCTTTAAGTCGTAGGTCTACCCTATTACGCATATTTCATGTTTGTCCAATTCAAGCCGTCGGTATAGTTATTTAACATTTTTGTCTTTGGATAAAAAAAAATTGGTAATATAAAATAATATTATAGTTAATAAAAGGCAAGATTTTTAAATTGCGTGGGTACCAGCCTCTTACAATAATTATTAGCTTTCTTGGGGGAAATAACACAAATAACAATAAATGTTATTATTATTATTATTAATAAACATTTTGGTATAATAAGTAAGTACAATAAAAATATAAGAAAAAATCTGATTTGTCCAACACATGACTTTCTTATCTAGTTATTACAGGCTCTTTTCGGTTATTTTGTACAACCTATTGTACCTAGCACCTCTGTAAATATTTAGAGGTTAACTTAATATATTGTTATGTTTCTGTTTTATCACTTCTTACATAACTTTAACAAAAAATTGGAAAAAAAAATATTATGTTTTTATATTTACCTTCAGCTAGCCTTCTCCTCTTGTTTACAAGATTTAAATTTAGAGCACAAGATCCTCTTAATCTCAAGGTGAGTTCAGGTAAGTTTTATACACACTTTAACTTTTATTTAATTGTTTTTATTTTTTTTATTTATTTTAATTCTATTTCAAATGATTTTATTTGATTTTAATTTAATTTTTAGTTTTTATTATTTCATTAGATTAGTTAGTAATTTCATTAATCACAGATTAGTTAATAATTTGAGTAATCATATCCATAAATCCCTTCTATAATTGATTCTTTACTATAAATTTACTAGTTGTCATCCAATTAGTTTTAGAATTTAACTAAACAATTAAATAAAGAGATTTTCAAAACAATGTGACAATTTATTACACAAATAGATTGATTTTATCAATCTAACAATAAAACATCATTGAACTTGTTGATTAACCTACATAAAATAAAATCAATGGATTCCCAAACATCAAATCATACCAATTACTAGGAATAAGTCAAATAATCGATTCAAAATCGATTATAAATGATAAAGAAACTAGAATTCTTTTATACCTCTATGTCAAGTAAAAGTTTCGATTATTATTATAATAAAATTTTTATCTAAATATGATTATTGATATTACCATTTATTAAGAATTCTACTTTCTATTCAATTCTATCAAAGGTAATTACTATTTATAATAAATATACAAATATTTGTAAACTATTCACAATATTTAAATTGTTCATAAACATTTACTACTCACATAATTCTTGTGCTTTCTTCCAGATTTATTTGCAAAGATTTGCAAATCTGTTGGAAAATCTCTCCGCTTCTACTCCAAGTATTGCTATCCAAGCATTCAGCCGTGGTTTCACCTTCTGGGATTTATTATCAAGTATTTTGATAATATAATTTCACAGTAAGTTTTTTTTTTACAAATACTTATGTAGGTAATCTCTTTACTTAATTATATTTATATTATAACTTTTTCCTTTTTTTAGGAACTTAAATTCAAAATTCAGGAAAGAATTGCCTGACTTTTCTCTCTCTGCCAGGACAAGATGAATTCAACCACCTATCTACTTTTCTATCGGTGTCTCCATAAAACTCATTAGCTACCAGTAAGACTCACTAATTAAAATGAGATCATTATTTGATGATTTTCTATTTCAAAATTCTGGTTAGACTACTATTTATAACATTTATGTTTAAATATTTGCTATTGTAAACCTTTTTTTAAGTTTATATTTTCCATAAATTATATACTCTGTAAGTATTAATGATTTTTACTCTTTATTTCAACTTATTTCAAACGCAGCGACCGCAGTAACGATGGCGTCATCTATGCGTCTCAGATGTTAACCAAAGGTACACGTCGGTTGTAGACAGACAGTAGACGCGGACAGTTTGTAAATATAAATGTCAGTTAGTTGTATGTATATCGTAGAATCCTGAATTTGAATTTTTAATTTTCAGTTCACGATTGTGTTATCCTCTAGATGAACAAAGCGAAATGATTGTAGCTGTTATTGTGTGAAATTTGAGGACAATAAATATATTTTGTAATATTACAAGTCGGAGAACGTATTGCATTAGTAACACATGCCACATGAATAAATGTAACAATCCCAATGTGATGTTCTTTAATTAACCAAAGTAAGATCTAGTCATGTAAGTTACACAAGTAGTAGCCAACTTTTGTCACAAAGTAGGTATTTATTTACTATTTATTGTTTTAGAGCAAGAAAATGGCTTCAAAACGTTAGAAAGAAGATTTGATATAGCAAGAAAAATATCTGAATTTCTATTATTGACTTTTAAATAAGACACCATTGGCCATTCGTTTGAAAAATAAAAACAAAAATGTTAATGTTACCCATAACGATCAAAAATTAAAAAATATTTGTCGTGAATAGATTTACAATAATTAATCGATAATAGACTGTAAGTATAGTATTCTTTTTAATAAATAATTTACCATAATTACATTGTTTAAATTTATTTACCAGAACGTGAAAGTGCAGTCGATATTCATACAACTTTAATTATCAGATTTTTAAATTTCCCGCTGCAATATTTGTTTGATATCGATGACAGCGCCACATAGTGGGTCAGATGTTAACTGCGTTAAAGCTGGTCGTTATTAAGCATTGGCTTCTTATGAGCGTTTCCTATCTTTATCTCCCTTATCTCTGAAAATTATAATATCACATACAGGGTGATACTTTACTATATTATTAAATCAACATTTTAATGTGTACATTCTTACTTTTCTAAGTATAATTACTTTGCTGAATTCTAATAACACATCAATATATACATTTTACACATACATCTAACTCGAAACATTATTCTATACAGTAATAATATTAATAATAATAATAATAAAATATTTATTTTTCAAAAAACATGAATACAAACAAGTAAAGAAAAAATATACGTACAAGAAAAATAAATATAAAGTTGTCGATAAGCGAACAAACGCTTGTTTCGACTGGTAAGTAAAGTTAAAAATAACATAAATGTAGTATAAAGTATACAATTATATTTTTTGAAATGTACTAATTATATAATAAAATTAATAGAAATAATTAAATCTTCTTCAAACAATAATGTTTTTAGAGATGACTTAAAATGATAGACATTTCTTATAGATTGAACGTTTTCAGGAATTATATAATAGAATTTTGAAGCTTAATATATATATGATCGTTGACCAATTGATTTTTGCATTTTCGGTATTAAGTGAAGCCGTTTGCGTGTGTTATATGAATGGTTTCGTATGTGAAATATTTGTTTAGTATGATAATTCATAACAACTTTAAAAAAATACAATTGACGTATATTAAATACTTTAGCTTCTTTAAATAATAAACTTGTAGGGTATGTTCTTTCTTTCTTTAAAATAATTTTCAAAAACCTTTTCTGAAGAATTTCTAGTGAATGCATGTGTGTGTTCAATGCAGCGCCCCATCCTAGTGACCCATATCTAATGTGACTTTCGACCAGAGCTTGATATAGTATTTTTAATTATGGGTACGTGAGTAAATTTGTTAAGTATCGAAATCGAGATAACATCGATCTTAATTTTTTACAGATATACTGGATGTGGATGTCCCATTTCATGAAATTGTCTAGGTAAACTCCAAGGTACTTCGTGCTTGTGGCTACTTTTATAGTGAAATGCTGATTGTTGCTCGAGAAATTTAACATATTAAAATTTGGTTCTGAGGATAAGTTACAATAAAAAGGTATGTAGAATGTCTTGTCCATATTTAATGTAAGTAGTCTATGATTTAGCCAAGCTTTGATGTCAAGGAAGTCTAATTCTACTTTTGTTTTCAGGTTCTGCCATGTATCTGCGGTGTAAAAAATGACTGTATCATCAGCAAACCTTATTATATCTCCTTGAGATTTGATGGAGAATAGTCCATTTACATAAATGTTAAATAGAGTGGGTCCCAAGACGGTACCTTGAGGCACACCATATTTTATTTCCCCATTTTCACTATAAGTATCTAAGTGTCTTACATTTTGTGTCCTTTTTGATAGATAACTTTTGAATAGTTGTAGTGAATTGTTCCTTATTCCATTTTCCTCCAAGGTTTTAAGCAGTAAGCTATGGCTAACTGTGTCGAAGGCTTTCGAAAGGTCCAAAAAAACACATAAACATGATTTACTGTTGTCAAGAGCAAGGTGGATTTTATTTGTAATTTCGACTATTGCGTCCTCCGTAGACTTATGCTTTCTAAATCCATACTGATTTGGTGAAAGTAATTTGTATTTTTGAATAAATGAGTTGACGCGCTTTTCTATTATCTTTTCGAAGACCTCTGACAAGCTAGTTATTAAGGAAATTGGGCGGTAATTGGAAGAACAACTTGCATCTCCTTTTTTAAAAATAGGTACAACTATGTTTTTTTTAAACGATGTGGGCCAAGTACCAGAATCTATACACCTATTAAATATATGTGTTAATGGATTTTCAATATATTTGGATGTTTTCTTTAATACCTCGGGTCTAATGTTATCAAATCCAGGAGCTTTTCTAAGTTTTAATTTTGCAATTGTGTCCTTCACCTCGTATTCGTCTGTGTGAAGCAATACAAAACTATTAGTTAAAGCATGTTTTGGTGGTCGATATAAAGGATCAGGCTGTATATTATTTGCTAGCCTTTCACCTACTTTTATAAATGAATCATTTAGATAATTGGCTATGTTCTTCGGATTTGTTATTCTTTTTCCATTTTCGTCTTCTAGGTAGTCTATACTTTTGTGTTTTCTTTAAGTGTTACCTATTTCATTTACAATTTTCCAAAGTTGTGAGATTGATTATTATTATTCTGCGACTGATAATAGTCAAATTTGCATTTCCTTATTAGGTGATTTACAAGATTTCTTTGTACATTATATCTTTGTTTTAGGATGAGATCATTAGGGTTATCCTTGGATTGTTTAAATAGTTTATTTTTTTTATTAACAGATTTTATAAGACCGTTTGTTATCCATGGTGTAATTTTTGTGTCTCTTCTCTTGCATGTTTTATATGTCGTGCTTCTCAAAAGTCCCCTCCTCCCTCTTTTCTTGTGAACCTTATATCAAGTGATACCTCGTTTGAAAGGTATTAAGAATACTTATTCAATGATACTATTTTTTTTTGGATTTACGATGTTTTTGATGGTTAAAATAAGGTCCCATTTAATATTATTGGTTTCAGTTGCCTGGTGACGTCATCTATGCCTATTACGTCACCTGTTATCACTAGTAGAGAAGCTTACGATAGTTCATTTTTAGCCTCCAAATTGCATCAGTCTAAGTATCACCGATCAAAATAAAAAGAGGGGGAGGGGACTTTTGAGAAGCACTGTATAATACAGTGAGCATCATAAGTCTTACCCCCCCCCTATCTAACTCGTTACTGGAGTCTTGTTAGGAGAATCGCCGAGACACGTCGATTTTTGATTTCTACAATGTACATTTTTGTATGAATAGTTTACCCTTAATTTCATCCTTTACTGGAGGGGAGCAACCCTTTCGAAAAATTTAAATGTCACGAGGTGGTGAGTGACATTTGAAAGAGGGTTTTATTCTCTATTGAACCTTGCAAAAAATTTTAAAATTTGCTTCAATAATTCTCGACTAATTATTGTTTCAGAATAACAGAAACTAACGTAGCGCACTCATTCTTAGAACTAAAATTCGACCCTGTATGATATCGGTTTTAGTTCAGATGTGAAGTTATACTTTTTGCCATTAGATAAGGTCACTGTTAGTTAAGTTGCTTTCCTATTTGTGATGTTTTGTTATTTTTAAAAATTAATAAATCAACACTGTATATGTACGAGCCCCTTCCCATTTCAGTTGGCCCACCTATTGATATTTTCATTATATAACGACAACAAGAAAGTATTAAAGATTACATGTTCTTTTAAATCATAAATTAGTTAACAATGCATCATGTTAGAATTATATTAGAACTAGAATTAGAAAACGTAAACTTTTTTTACTTATTTTTATATTTATTAACACATGGAGCAATATTGCAATATTTCAATTTGAATTCAATTCGTTAGAAAATAAGCTAGAATTGAAGGTAGCTTTGAAAAAATAACAAACAATAATGCAGATAACTATCGTAAGACAATTTAACCTCTTTTAAGCTAATTCTGTCTAGTAAAGTGGGCAGAGGAAAAATATTTGAAAAAATACGTGTTCTTTTTATAAAACATTGCAATTCTGGAAAATCGACCTCGAAAATTGCAAATATATTAGATTAATCGCGATATAATAATAATAATAATAATAATAATAATGTTTATTTTGCCAGAAAACATTTACAGGTTTTACAATATTTTTGTTTTTTGGTTACTACATATTAAAATATTTAGTATAAAAATGTTTATTTTTCATTTCTCATTGTTCTTTATGTGTACCATGTAAATACAAGATATAGTTTAAAGCTTAATTAACAAATAATAAGAATCTTAAATTAATACCATGATAGGACAATATAGTTAACTAAATGTGTACCTAAAGGTTTACAAACATAAAATAAACAGGAATCCCTAAGAAACCTTAACGGTTGTGTAAGGGATATAATATAAGATGTAAAATTAATATTTAAATATAAAATACAAACCCAATGTAATTTAGTTATTTATCATATGGTGGATAAGATGTCTGTCTGTTAAATAAATATATTTCTTAAGATATTTTTTGAATAAATTTAGACTATTTATCGTCAGAAAATAGGTTTTATAAATTTCAGGTAGGTTGTTAAAAAATTTAGCTGAAAGGTAAGTATAACATTTCATTCCTATGGTTTTTCTTACTGAAATTGTAGCGACATAATTATTGCGTTTTTGACGTGTATCATAAGAATGAGCTATATTTTGTAGGAGAGACTTATTTTTATAGGTGTATATGATAACATTAAAGTAAAACAACTGCCTGATATCAAATACATTACTTTCTTGAAAAATTAAATCTGACGAGTATATCCATGGTTTTTTGTAGATTATTTTTAAGATCTTTTTTTGTAAGACTTCTAATCTACGCAGGTGGCTATTCGAGCAACCCCCCCAACATAAAATACAATATTGAAGTCGTGATTCTATGAATGCATGATATAATATTTTTAATTGTTTTAACGGTAGTAAATTACTAAAATATTTAAATTTATACATCATAACTCTTAAAGTTTTTGTTACTTGCAGGATGTGGTGGTCCCATCTCAAATGTGAGTCTACAGTTATTCCTAAGTATTTAATGTTATTTTTAACATGAATTTTTGAAAGTTTTCCAGGTATATTAAGGAAGGTGTAAGACGATAAGTGATTCTCGTAACTCGCAAATGGAATGAAGTAAGTTTTCTGGAAGTTTATAGTCAATAGGTGATGATCGAACCAGTTAATTACTCTTGCCAAATCATTTTCAGCTACAGTTTTTAAATTTTCCCATGAATCAGAGGAATACAAGATTGCAGTATCGTCGGCAAAACTATAAACTTTTCCCACAAAATTTTGGGTAAGTAACCCATTTATATATATGGAAAATAGCAACGATCCTAAAACCGTGCCTTGTGAAACACCAAAACTTAAAATATTTCCTTTACTTATAGATTCGCCGATTTTTACTGATTGTTTACGATCGTTTAAATAATCTTTTAAAAGGTTCATTGCTAAGCCTCGTATACCTGCATCCTCCAAGGCATCAAATAATTGTGTATGATCCACCGTATCGAATATCATTTTGTTCAAGAGTTTACCTTTATATTTGATAAACCTCGTATATAATTGATAAAATTTGATATTATATAATAATACTCTCCCTAATTCACCCCCTTACGAGTAAATTTCAACCCCTGAAGTCGACTGAACGACTTGTGTAGGGGAAGGGACGGCTATTATCATTATTTGCCGTGGCGCTCCGGAGCGACTTAAAGATAATTGATGGTGCCATTTGACTTACAGGTGAGGAAAACCCGGAAAACCTGACCCACCATCATCGAGACGGTAATGTATGGCGATTTATTTTTTAATCTGCATGTCATATCAACAGAAATTGAATTTCTATTAATACGCCACACATCAAATCCTAAACCGAACCATGCAATTTAATTAAAAATCCATATGGTCCGGTCTGGGATTCGAAACCCAGCAGTCTCAGACTCATAAACTTGCCTATAAATATTAGATGATCCTATTTTAGGTTTTAGATCATACAACTGTTTTTGAAAAATAAATATTTTTCCCAAAATTCATACACACTATACATATAAATGAGGTTAAATTTTTTAAAAATAATTTTTACTGATGCAGATTTTTAAAGTATTGTGGTTAAATAAGGTACATTTTTCTTTTTTTTTCTATTTGGGATATAGCGCAACTAAAGATTAACTGATTAGAAATAAGCCAATTAAACAAAATACCCATACATAAAACATTACTCGTTTACGAAATACAGGGTATTTAAGTTAAAAATCAAAAATTATGAATAGCTACAATTTATTTACTACTCAGTTTAATTTCACTTAATTCGGCAAACGGTATTGTTGTAATAAAATACACCTATCACGAAAAATCATTTAAATAAGCTTTGCCTCTAGGTTTTAGGTATTGTAATTGCTGTAAACATATTGGTTAGGAATAATAATAAAAAAATAGTGCCTTAAAAATAGGGTTTATTTATATCTTATTACAATAAACTAATGATGATGTTGGTCGTGGGAATCATGATGATCGTGGTGTCCTTCATGGCCCAAATGCTTGTGAAGGCATATGGACAAAGCTGTAGCAGCTTCCGTAGCCGTGTTGCCAGCTGCTCTTGTTCCACAAGCATCTAAGATCTTGCTGACTTTATTAGCATCGTTTATTTCTTTTTCAAGATCTTTTTTAAGTGCGTCTTTGTCTATATCACCATTTTCTTTTTGGATTCCAAGTACAACGTTCATACAGAGGGTGTGTTTGGGAAGATTGGGATCATCTACTGGTTTACCTTTTCTGAGATTGTCAAGGGTGTCGTCTTTGAGCTTAGTGGCTGGGTCGTTTTGGCAAGATTCGTGACTTTTCTTGATCTCTTCCTTTGTGTCGTTGGCGAATGTCTGGAGAATAAAATATATTTAATAGTTCTGTGTTTATACATATTTTTGCAGTGTTCTTAGTAGGTAGAATGGATATAAAAAATATTCGTTTAGTTGAACGCAATGGCATAGTTTTTCGTTTAGTAGTCTGTGCGTTGATAAGTTAATATGCATGTGGTTATAGAAAAAAATAAATTTTGGGTATGAGAATCCTTATGGAAAGTTGTATTACTTTTGCTCATTGAATTAAAATCTAAATAAAAAACATTGTGTTATTAAAAAAACTTTTTGGCATCTATTTTGAAAATATCGCTTGCTGAGGACAATAGTGGCGAAACACACAAATTGAGTATTTTAAGTTAAGTTCACCAAACAACACACAAATGAGTCCTCTGCTGCGTGCTAGAGAGGCGAAAGGCTATCTCACCTCCTTACGCCTAGATGGCAGCGTATGTCATTGTAGTAGGGGTAAAACGAAGCACCGGCATGTGCAGTAGAGACGAAGAACACATTATTGGTAAGCTTCCGTTGAGTAAATAGCGAAAAGTTTATATCAGTTTTGGCGAATTGTTAGTTACGTCGCTGATGCACACATATAGCATATTTTTCTCTTTGAAGATAGATCAGTACTGACGAATTTGTATTTAAGACAATAGTGCCCCAATAGTTGTACGATAAATCAAGACAGTGGTGTCGCAAACAAAGGTTTCGCCGTTTATGCCATAAATAAGGTAAGCTTTTGTTGATGCATTTGTGGGTTATGTTGGTTTTTGTCGCTGCTGCGTTGTAGAGATGTTCGTTACTTAAAAATCGTTGCATTATGTTAGAGTTACGTCATTACTGCACAGCGAAATTTCTTTAAAGCTATTCATTATAACAATCATTAGAATTATCTACAAAGCGTCCGTGAAGTAATCGTATAATTTCATATTTAGCTAAACATACATTTTTGAAAGAAATTCCCGTGACAAGTCGATTTTCATTTTAATTGGCAGTATTTTCACATAAGTCAAAATACAGGGTGAACCATCTTCGAGTGACGACTTCGACAGTTTTTAAATAATTATATTTATTTTTTATTTTTAGTATGCCTTGCCAATTTGATTTTTTAAAAATGTTTCAAAAGTTGGGTGAAATTTATTTGCATTGAAAAAAAAAACACAAATACTAACAATTAAATTATGCGTTACTTCAAACGATAAGGATGCACTGTATAGAACTTTAGTCATAATTATTTTACATAAGCATGTTTCATTTTCAGTCTGAAAAATGAGTGGACGGTCAGAACAAATTCTCTCCGCACTTGGAATAAGGTACGTTTTAGATTTATTTCAAGAGGTATATTATCAGCCATATAATTTTTTTAAACTCTAATTAAAACTGTTTTACTGTCTAGATTAAATCGCCCATTGAAGAGTCAAACAAATAGCTTTTTAAGATTAAGCTCCACTAAATCAGGGAAGGACATTTTGCAGTCTAAGCAAGCAGGTGGAAACATAGTAGGTAATAAAATATCTACCGATGCTTCTAATAATGCTCTCTTGTAATATAATATTTAAAGCTTTCTAAAATTATTTTAATAGTTAATGTATTTCGACATAAAGGTTAAGTAAAAAAATGTCTTGCAATCTAATTAGTCTTCTATTCACTGATAGTAGCTTAAATAATTTTAATTTGGTATTTTAGTTGAGAAAACCCAAAATCCAGGAACATCACAACAACCAGATTGTGAACAATCTTCAAATCTAAATTTAGTACAAGTTGTTGAAGGTTGTTTAGAGCTTAAACCAGTCAGTGAGCCAATCCACCTTATGCAGACTGCAGGTAGTTGTAACAATTTTTCCTAATCCGTACTTATTAACTTAAAATTATTAGTAGTTAACCACACCATAAAATATTTAAATATAATATTAATTATCATTATACTTTTGTCGATAGGTTTGGATACAAATGAAACTATCCTTTCTCCTTCCACAAAGCCAGAAGAAAATCTCGATAGTAAAAAAGATTCAGTAAAAACGTCTAATACATGTAAACCTGGTCACAGTTCTTCGACTAGGTCAGGTTCTTCAACCAGCTCAGGTTCTTCAACTAGCTCAAATGCTTCATCAGGCGACTCATCATCAGGCAGTTCGTGTTGCTCATCTCAAGTGGATGACAGTGATGCAGACCCAACGTATGAGATTAATGAAGACAATGAATCAGAAGAACCAAACAGTGTCACAGAGCTAGATATCAAAAATAGGAAGTCGCGTAAGCGAAAACGAAATCCAGATGGATGGAAAAGAAATATCTCCAAACAACTAAGAAATAGTGGCAAGGAGTATCGTTCTCTCAAAACGGGAAAATTAGTCCCGCCTAAGAAAATTCTACCACCGTGCAAAGCTACCTGTAAACTGAAATGTACTACGAAGTTTAGTGAAGAAGATAGGCAACAGTATTTCAAAGATTTCTGGGAATTAGGATCCTTGGAACGTCAGAGGCATTTTATCCTAGATCACATGCAAAATATCCAACCAAAATATAGACATGTTGTAATTGATAGAAAGAAGGAGCGATCTTTAAACAAAGCATATTATTTCACAAAATTGTATCAACGCAAACAAGTATGCTTTTTATATTTTCGAAATACACTTGGCATAAGTGAAAGATTTGTCAGGACAGTAAAAACTAAAGAAAAAGATGGATGGTTGGATGTAGACTTGCGTGGAAAAAACAAACACTCAGTGGTTCCTGAAGAGATCAAATCTGGTATGAGGAATCATCTTTCCTCTATACCAGCTGTGGATAGCCATTATACCAGGGCCAATACACAAAGGAAATACATAGAGGGAGGTAAGACTGTTACAGATTTATATAACGATTATGTAAATTTATGTAAAGTAAAGAACGAAGGTCATGGTTCACTATCCCTGTACCGTCATCTATTTAATTACGAATACAATATGTCTTTCCACATTCCCAAAAAAGACCAATGTCTTAAGTGCACTACATACAAAAATTCAAATCCAGACGAACAACGTGAATTGGAATTGGACCATCAAATTCATATAGAAGAGAAAGAGTTATCGCGTGCTGAGAAAAACGACGACAAGACAAAACGCAGCGAATTATTCCAAGTTGCTTGCTTTGACCTACAAGCTGCTCTTCCGGTTCCTAGAGGAGACGTATCTTCTTTTTATTATAAATCGCGATTGAACTGTTATAATTTTACAGTTTGCGAACTTCAACAAAAAGAATTGGGACCAGTTGAATCATTTTTTTGGCACGAGGGCGAAGGAAAACGGGGTGCATCTGAAATAGGAACTTGCCTTTTAAAATTTTTGAAAAAAAAAGCTGATGTTGCTAACTCAGATAACTTGAATATCGTTCTTTACTCCGACAATTGCGGGGGACAAGGAAAAAATAAATTTATCATAACAGCTTTCATGTATGCCATAGCACATTATAAAATAAATAGTATAACTCATAAATTTTTTGTAGTAGGGCACGGACAAAACGAGGGAGATGCAAGCCACTCCGTAATTGAAAAAGCTATCAAAAAGGCCCTTAAAAATGGACCAATTTACATACCTGCACACTACGCTGCTATAATCAGTTGTGCAAAAAAAAAGGGAAACAAATTTAGAGTACATGAGCTGGCACACGACGATTTTTATGATTTGAAAGACCTTACAGAGAAAGTAACCAATTCTCCGTTCAATGAAAATTTTCGAGGTGCTAAATTCAACTTTAATGATATACGCATAGTTAAAGTTGAACGTGCTCATTTGGATCGTTTCTTCTATAAAATGTCCTATAAAGAACCTGAATTTCAAGCTGTAGTCATAAGGGATACTAAGACAAGACAAAGAAAAAAACTTAACAAATTGGAAGAATACAATTTGGTTCCAGCTTATTCAGGACCACTTCCTATTTCTAAAAGAAAATTTTCTGATTTACAAAGCCTGCTACAAAATAAGTCAATTCCTGCCGCCCATAAGTTATTCTATACCAGTTTACATAATGAAGAAGACGAACATGGTGATTAGTTTATTAGAAAATCTGGAAAAATTCATTATTTGTTTTTAGATTATTTTTTGTTGATTCTTTATTTTGTTTTTTATGTTCACCATTTACTTTGTTTGAAAGCCAATTCAGGTATTAATTTTAATGTTAATATAACAGAACTAGTGTTTGTTGTTTTTGTCGATTTGAATAAAATGTTTGACTTTTTTATGTAGTTTTTTTGTGCTTAAGTCTGTTTGAAAATCCACAAATCGTTTCGAAACTGATGCAATAGTGACGTAACTAATTAAAAAAAAAAGAGTGGGGGTAATTTGTGGTCTCTACTACACTTAAATCAGTTAAATTACGATATTTAAGTCAAAAATAATTAAAAAAATGGGTTAAAAGGGCGAGCTATTAGCCAGTTATCGAACTTAATAGTTTTAACAAAACTTCAAACAGAATTATCTCAAAACTATGATTTTTGAGTTTCGCCCCTATAGTTCTCAGCAGGCGATATGTTTAAGCTGTGTGAAACACTTCGAATATCTTACATTTCCCTGTATGCATAATCTGAGGCTTTTCAGCATCAAAGCCTCAAAGCCAGCGTTAAATACCTGAGCTCTTGTAGTGTCAACGTGTAATGCACGACTGAACATTGAAATGAAAAACGCTGATAAAGCTTGTACTTTTGTTTTGTTTGTTTCTGTCGTTTTACGGCTGGATTTTTATACAGTGTGGTCAACATAGGATGGGAAAACGTCTACAAATTGTATATTTTTCAACTGATTTACAAAATTCATTTTTATAATATAAAGCATCAAAATGTATTTCTCGATACAACAATTTTCCTGTGGAAGGGCAAACTCAAAGCATAAAAACAATTGGATTTTGAATGGAAGAGCATAAAACGATGAGCTATATTAATTAATATAATTTCTAACGCTGGATAAAATGTTTTATATAAAATAAAAAAAAAAAAAAAGGAAATATCTCGGTAAACATCATTTAATAATAACTACAGCAGTCCTCAA